TTTAAAAAAATTCAAAAGAAAAGCATTTTCCCATGGGAAGGATTCTTTATAATTAATTCCAAAATCTTATTTCAAATTTATCTGGACCCTTAGTCCATTTGTAACTTTCTAAAATGAAAGTTTTAATCACCTTTTTGAGTGGCCTCTAGTTCCCTCTAATGACCAATTTTTAAAATCTTATTTTATGTATTTTTAAAAAAATTCAAAAGAAAAGCATTTTCCCATGGGAAGGATTCTTTATAATTAATTCCAAAATCTTATTTCAAATTTATCTGGACCCTTAGTCCATTTGTAACTTTCTAAAATGAAAGTTTTAATCACCTTTTTGCTATTTATTCAAAAAAAAAAAGTCCTTAAACTTGTAGTTAAAACTTCTTTCACCAAGGATTCAAGGAAACTCACCCAGTGCTGTAAAATTTGTCAATCCAAAGGTTCCTAATAGCTGAAAAGCAGATAGCAAGCAATTTCTTAAAGTGATTAGAAAAGGAAGTATGCAAACCTAGTGTTCTTTCAAAGATACCAACTGCAGTTTGAGCAAGATGGTTATTCCTTCATCTCCCAGAGCTCTAAACCCACCAGAGACTGCTATCTTGTGGTCTTGCAAGGAGCAGCTGTCAGGAGCACTTGTGGGCAATCTCAAGTCCTCTCCTTGTCCAGAGGAATTATTGAAGAGCCGTCTACTCGCTGGCTCTTCATTCCACTGTGGTTGCCAGCTCCACTTTTCAGAGCTGTCTTCAGTCTTCCATTTCTTCCTCTGGAAGCCAAGCTGTCCATGGTTTTTTAACAGTACCCATTCACAGAAAGGGTCAGACACCACACACAAATAAAAGCAAACAATGTAATGATGCACTATTTTTTATTGTCTTTTTAAAGTGTGTAAAGGTTAATGTTATAAATTATTTGCCATGTGATTATATATACCACTCAATTTCATAAGGGTTTAATCAAGGATCAATTCACAAACATATTTGAATACTTTTGCTTCAATCCTAAGATGATCCTCACACAAATGCAGAGGGGAAGATATCCATATTCCCCATAATATATTGACACCATTTATGGCTGTGACCAAAGTAAAAAAAAATGTTTTTGAGAAATGCTGAGAATTGAGAAGAGTTAGGTTGAAAAATAGCAAGGGTTTAATATGCTTGATATACACAATTTTTATACAAAGCCAATGATTAACTCTATTGCTTCAAGCGTTTGGACAACACACAATTAGCTTGGTTTTCTTGAAGTAAAAATAAAAAAACTCTTCAGGCCATGGAAATCTGGAGATTTCATTAATCAATAAAATAGCAGGTGTGGTTTCCATCCCTGTTGGCACTGGATGGCACTAGCTGAAGCAAGGAGAACTGAGGATGAACTGATATTCAGTTAAACAAGCATTCAGAGACTGAGGAAAATAAAAAGATGGCTGCCTGACAGGAAAGTACTTCATTGTTGTTTTTATAGTTAAAAATTCATGAGTTACAAAGTAATGCTATCATTTCTATACTTTCTCTGTGTATAGTGCTTTAAGCAAGTTGTTGAATACAAAAGTGTGCACTGCATTACATCTCCATTTTCAAGGCCTTATGAAAGGCCAATAGGAACAGGGCCAATCTAATCTCAGGGGTGATGATGTTCCAAAGGGCAGGTGCCATGGCTGAAAAGGCTCTCCTTCTGGGCCTACCAGCCAACACTTCCTAGCTGAAGGTACCTGAAGCATGCTCTTCCTGCCAGATTGGGTAGGACGGGCAGAAACAATTTGTAGTGAACTCTTTATTATGTAACAAAAATAATTTCCTTGGCTAATATTACTGAGTGGTAAAATAGCATTCAGCACAGACTATATCCCACTCATTTTTGTGGCTCCAGCATGAAAACTGAGGGACCAAGGGGTTGTTTTAGGTTCCACCATATTAGGCCTTGGAACCTTACAATAAATGTACACTTCTTCTTTTGCTCAGTAATGCTACTTATCTGTCTCAACACATTTTTTTTTCTGGTAAGACAAAAAGCAGCAGGAAAATATGGGAAGATTCCAATTGCAAAATGGCTACCTCTGGACCTTACCTACATAAAATTCCATGTATGTGGACAACTGAACAGTAACAATCTAGTATAGAAGCCCTCTTGAAATTCTGATCTATAGTATTTTACAGAAACTAGAGTAAGGTTTCCCAAGTGTTCTTTTTACAGCTTTGGAGATCTCCACTAAGGATAATCAATTGATCAATCACTCATTTTTAAAATTTAAATCTGTAAGTTTCAGTATAGCCTAGAAATCAATAAAAAGGGTCAGGTAAGATAAAGACAACAGGAAAATTTAGATATTAATTTTGATTATAAACTTTTCCGCTGCCACATCCTTGCTCTATTGATCCTTAGCTGCTTTCAAGGCACTGGAGGACATCCATTGCTATCCGCCTACCCAATCTCAAACTATATATAATCAAACTGTGAGTTCCAAAAAGATTTGGGAACTGTTTATGTATGGCTTTGAACTTGAATCTCAGCTGTAATGCAAATCAGACTCTGGAATTCACACATTAGTTAAGTCAAGACAGAAAAAAGTTTAAGTAATCCCATTTATGTCTCTGATTAATGTTATGAATAATACTTATGTAGTATATTTCTACTGGCAACTAACAACTAACAAATATCACAAAGACAACTAACACATACAAATATACCTGTCATACTATATTAATGTCGTAAAATATTAAAATACTTTCTTGCAATTTAAAAGTCCAAGTTAAAAAGATGCATCTTAAACTGCTTTCAGAAAAGTCTGAACATTGAGCTCCAATATAACCCTCTGAAGGAAGAGCATTCTACAGTTTTGGAGCAATAGAAAAAAAAACCCTTTTTATACATGAACTTCTGCACATGGGAATTAGTACTTGCCAAAGGGTTGGACTTTCTTGACAGGAACACAATGAGAAAGGAAGTTCTTTAGTTACCTAAACCTTAAGCTGTAAAGTTTAATGGTCAATATTTAGGATCTTTAAATACTGGTAGAGCTATAATGACAATACTATACAATTTGACAATATAGCTGCTGCCCTCTGGCAACTGAAGCTTTTAGATATTCTTAAAGGATAGCTCTGAATAGAGGATATAATAGTTTAAGCATGATGCAATCAAGGTATAAATAACAATTGCCAGATTAGGCTGATTCAGACATAGTTGCTATTCATCTAACAAACCCTTTTAATTTATTGTATTTTATAAGTATGATTTCACACAAATCATGCCCTTATTGAATACAAGCTAAAGTGCTAGACTTTCCGGTACAATTTTAAGTAAAACCAAGTTCTATATTGAAAATGAAAAAAATCAGAATAAAAAATGATAGGCAGAGAAGTGTTAATATTTTAAAAAGCCAACTAATAAAGTTTTTAAGATATTTAGCTTACTTCTTACACAATGCTTCTCAAACATTATTTCCCTAAGAAACAGACAATCCACATAAAATTATACCTCCCCACTTTAAGTAAAAACACAGAACAGACATTTTAAAGAAATATTTGCAAATAGCTATGTGTTATACAGAGTTATCAAAATTCTTTACAGTAAAACAGTTCTAAGCATTGGCAGGAGTCTGATGATATAACTCAAGGCCCTGCTGACAGCAGCCTGGCAATGAAATAATGAAAACTGAATAAAACTTTCCTTGGTCCTATTGTTCAGACCAGTGTTTCTCAACCTTTGCCACCTCATTTTGTTATGTGGTGTAAATACTCACACTTTTAACACCTACAACATCTTGCGTGCTGGTT